ACAAAATGCTGGTTTACTGCCATGTTTTTTGAAATGTAAAGAAGACATTATTGGGTTTACGTTATATACTGATTTTAATTACATACACATGGTATAGTTCGTTTTATGATAGAAATGTAATGATTGTTAAATGTGACTGTTTTGCTTATCTTGATGATTTCATATTAATAGCTACATGCCAGAAACAATTTCAACACATATCTGAAATTTAACTCTTGGTCACTCAAATAAACCAGATCAGCAAAGAGCGCTCTTTGGTTTTGTATGGTTACTCTTTAAAATTTATTCCATGCATTTGTACATTCTTCGTATGGTTAAGCACCCATTCTGGTAACGAACACAAATAACACTATTTTCTTTCAGTACAACCACTGACTATATGGTTCATTCATTTGACTGATTCTTAAACAGAAATAAAATTGTAGTAACTAAGCAAATGTCAAGTAGATCAAGCCATGCAAAAWKRTMYAAYYAAYMTMMTTWYGSKYTWAAAAAAWYTAAAATCTGTGTGTTTTATTGGCCGAATGTAATGCAAAMAAGTGCTGTATCTGCTATAACCAGAAAGGTATTACATTGTCATATGGTACAATGTCTTATATATTTAATATAAATATATTTACACAAAACTTAAATGTGGGCCCAACTCATCACTGTTAAGTTTTAATKAATTTCTACCTCAAATTGTGCCTACTCCACTGTACCCAGGACTTTTTGTAAAAAAGTAATTACATATTTGTTCACATCCGTTGGCATTTTGTGTCAATAAGATATGAAACTGTTTCCATTTCAGTCCCATGCATTTACTATGTACATGTTTCCTCAAATGCACATACTGCATCTACTYCATGGGTTTCTACAGCCTTACAGGAGCATATCATTAGTTGGTACTTATTCCATGTGACCCTGCACAAAYGTCAACTGTGTATGATTTCATAGTAATTATTATGTACCATAACAGTAATGTGCTCATCTGTTTAACAAATATTTAAGATAAATACTTGTTTGCCACTTAAGTTTAACACATTGTTCATCTTTGCTGACCACTAAATAAAGCACAAAGAGAATTTTGTCCAACTCCTGCAATCGCTCCTTTATCAGATAMCCCCCTTTATTTTATATTTCTGTTAGCATTGAATAATCATCAAATAAAATTACAGACATTGTAAACTTGCTAATATTGATTGTCTTTAATGAGCTGTTTATGTCTTTGTTGCAAAAGGTCATCTTGTGACACATAATTTTATATTAATTAGCACAAAAGCAGTTTGAATGACTTTCCAGGTGTTGTCTGTCTGTTTTTTGCAGTGGCAACCCATCCTGTCAGACTTTAGGCAGAAGGAAACACTTTGGGGCTTTGTGCCAGGAACCATCAAGCAACCTCTGGTCTTGCACCTTGGAGACTACAACCTGGATGGTTTCCCTGATGCCCTAGTGATCCTTAAGAACACAAGCAACAGGTAAGAACAAAATGATTTTTGTMGGAGAACATTAGCTATTATTCTGAGAATCTGTTTAATCAGATGCAGGTTTATTATGAGTCATTGTATTTTTAAAGGTAAATTGTGTCCGTATTGTTAAGTTCCTCCAAATTCCACTTTTTATGACTCATAAACAGTGGAGATATTGCTTAAACGAACATATCCTTGCATGGTCCTTTTTATATTTGAAAAAGCCACTTGAGCAGACAGAATCCAGTTCAGTTTTTGGAAACAAGACTACACTTCTTGAGCTTTCAGGCCAGAGTCTCTTCATTTCTTACAAATATTGTTTGCACAATCATTACTCTAGTTTCAGGGTAATAATATTGCACAAATCAAAGATTTCATGCAAATTTATATTATCCCAGTTTCTATGAACTTCACCATTTGGTAACCACATATGATTTTGCATGGCGTTTGCTACATTTTGATGAGATTATTTTTTGCTTTAAAATGTCAAAGAAGGAGAAATGGAAAAAAAAAAGATTTGAGTCTAATTATTCAAAAATACATGCATAAAGGGCTTGTGCAAATCTTGTAAGCATGCCATAAAGGAAATGTTATTTATTTTATGTGTGTAAAAATCCCCCAAATTAAAACTGAATTTATCCAGTAAATTACTGTGAAGTTATTGTACTTGTAATGAGTTTGTCATACTAGAAATGTCTTCATATCCCTGCTTATTTGGGTAGTTTTTTTTTTTTTTTTTTTTTTTTTTTTCAGTTTAGTATAGAGTAGTCAAACTCTTACATTTGTAAACTAAAATAAATAATTCTGAAAGACTGGTCAGTAAAACCATCAGCAATACTGAAATGCATGCGAAACAGTGACACTAATTTAATCTGTACCTTCTTATGCTTATCTTCCATAAAAAATATAAATCATAATACATCATGTAAAAAAAATTATGTATGGCTCAGTTGGTAGAGCTGATGCCTCTCAACAAGAAGGTCGCCGGTTCAAATACCGGCCCGGTGGACCTATGTGTGGCTCTGTGATGGACTTGCAACCTTTCCAGGATGTACCCCGCCCCTCGCACTGTGACTGCTGGATATGGGCACCAGTGACCCTGAAAGGAAAAAGCGGGTATAGATAATGAATGAATGGATGGATGTGATTGCTGACATCTCTTTGCCCTTGGATGCAGAATGTAAAGTTGTAATGTGGCTTACTCTGAACTGTTGTGACCTGTGACACTAAAATGTAGTCAGGAAAGGATTTCTATCCATTTAACTGGAGCACAGTTTGTGCGAACAGACACCTAAGGTGAGCTTGGTCTTTAGCTTTAGGAAACATGTCAGTTGATAAATCCATCCTTTTAAAAATCATGCAGTGTCTTCTGGTATGAGCAACAGGATTTGGAGGTATGTATGTGTTGAAGGACTCGTGGATTATCTGTTCCCAGAAATGAAGATAAGATAGCTGTATTGGTCAAGGCTGTGATTGTCTGTGCATACTGATTGCTGTGTGTAAGAGTGTGTTTTTGTGTGTAAAAGATGTTAGTGTTGACTGAAAAAAACTACAAACAAGAGACTTCTAGCACTTCAGTTTTTGTGCTAAAATATCACCATTCAGTCCTGTTAAACAAAACTCAGTTGAAGACGACTTCTGTCTCTGTCTGCTGTTGTCCCAGGTTTTATGTCTTTATAATTGCTTACATTTATTTTACATTACTGATGGTGGTCAGAGGGTCCGATGGCACCAGTGCATGGTAGCCCAGCCTCTGTCAGTGTGCCCCAGAGCAGCTGTGGCCGTAGCTAACCACCATTAGTGTGTAAATGTGTGTGTGTGAATGCGTGGGGTGTAAAGCGCTTTGGGGTCCGTATAGACTTGATATATGGTACTCTATAAGTTCAAGTCATTTACCATTTACACAGATATACAAAATATCCAGCCCTATTCCTTTGATATCCTTCACCCACTTTCCCAGTTTGGAGGTAACAATCACAAGTGCATCAATAACCACTGTTACCACTGAGGCCTTGACTTTACCTAATGTCACTGTTTCCATTTATTTCTTGATCTTTCTCAAGCTTCTCACAGTCTTTTCTTCTTTTTCGGAGATAGCAATCCTAAGCAACTCCATTCGGGTGTTCTTGCATCCTTTAAAAAGTCTGATTGGTTAGTCATCACCTGTTTGCCATTTTGAATTTGTCAGTCCTACTTAACCATTTTCAACCATGTCATGTCATCATCCTCATCATCAAACCTTTCACATTTTCTATGGGACATTCAAACTATACTCAGCACAGATGTTCTTTTATACTGATACTTGGTTGTAGTGTTCTATGTACACTTTGCCTTCCTGCATCTTACATCTATGATGTGCTGGACTGTCTCAGTGGCATCTTTGCACAGCCTGCCGCTTGAGTGGTAGACCTCAGCCTCGATTGCTCTTAATTATGTTGCCATTAGTGTCTCTGTGCTGTTCTTAGTCCAGCCTTCTCTAACCACTGCTTGGATAGTTGTTGTTGTTGTTGTTGTTGTTGTTGTTGTTGTTGTTGTTGTTGTTGTTGTTGTTGTTGTTGTTGTTGTTGTTGTTGTTGTTGTTGGCCACTTTTTCTACCTGCCGTTGGTACATGTCATCCAGAGACCTAAACTTCCATGTTATTCCTCTTGTTCCTTCTCTTCCACCTTTGTTACTGCTGCCTGACAAAAAAATAAAAAAGTTAAAAGATAGTGTGGTTATGATATATATTAAATATTGTGCATCTCTTAAATATATCAAGTGCATAGTCAGTAAAATGTTAAGAGTTTTAACTTTTTGATACTGGGTCAGAGTATATTTCTAATTAATTAAACCACAAATATTAGTCCATGCACAATCCAACATTTAGTTGACTCACTCCTATTCAGTTATTTTTTTTTTCTGTCAATAATTTTATACCATTCATGCACAGCTATATAACTTTTCAAAAGCCATTTTCTACACTAACAAGGCTTTTAACCTTCAGTGTGGTTTTAAATGTTTTCAGGATCATTTTTTATCTTTATTAACATAATTGGGAATTTAAAGGAACAATTTTAGAAGATATGGTAATACTGTTTATATGTCTAAACATGATTTTAAAAAGGCAACGTCAAAATATGTTTTATGCCAAGATGTCTTAAATCAGTTGAGCTTTATATATATACTGTAGACTGATCAGATGTTTGTTTTTTGCTCATTTCATTAAATATTTCTTTCCAGTGTAACTCATTGAATTCCACATGCTATCTACAGTCCCTCGTGCACTGGAGCTTTGTTTTGTTTTTGAATTCTCTCTACTAAATTGCTCTTAGCTAACCAAATATTTGTACCACCCATAACTGATCTATTTTAACTCTCACTCCCTCCCTACCACTGTTCATCTTTGTTTCTCGATCCTCGCTATATCTTCTCCTTTATCCGCCCAATTAGTTATTTATAGCTGCTTTTCAGTTAAAAGTCCTGCCAGTCTGCTTCACCTCCCAGCAAAATGAATGCAGATTTAAGTGTTCATGGCAGAAAAGCAGAGGAAGAGAGGGTGCGAGATGAAAGTAATCTGCTAGAATCAATGGAACAATGAGCACATGGAGCCAGCAGATGGAAAACAGACAATTGAAGGATTATTTAGAGTGTTTGAGGTCTTTTTTTTTTTTGCTTTGAAGAAAAAAAATGTTTACTTTAGACATAAAAATGTTTTTTTTTGCTATACTGCTTTATTTGTTGTTAATACATCACACTAACAAGCCAAATAGAAAGCTATTCCACCTTTCTCAATAGGAGGGTTTCACGTGACGTCACGATGCAGTACCAGGAGTAGTTCGGCTGGAGGTCAGGAAGTGACAAAGTGGAGGATCTGCCATCTGAAAAATGCCCATGTCTTGTGTAGTTTACAGGTGCTCCAATCATTCTAACTGAACCAATAATAAATAATTATACACTGATTAAATTATATAATAAATAAAAAATGTTTCTTTTTATTAACGTTTGTCATATTTGAAGCARGTTGCAGCAGGAGGATGCAGAAGAGGACTGATTCACGAGGAAAATAACACCTCATTCCACCCGCTGGTCTCACACCCACCCCGCCGAACAAATGTAAACCCCCCAAACTCCTTTCTGACTGACGCCTGAAAATATTAGACAAGCGGCAGAAAATCTACAGGAGGATGAACATGAAAAAAGGCAGAAGTTGAAAAAAGTTTGGCAGCGATGGAGAGACAGCGAGATCAGAAGTGAGCAATGAGATATACAAATATAACAAATTTAATAAATTTCGGATAACTATATTTCATAGTTAGGGTGAAGTTTAGTTAGTTATTTTTAGTGTCTTTGATGCAAAAAAATAAAAAGCGTGAAGAACGTGGAGCTCCAGCTGTGGACTGGTGGACCAAGCCACAGTCAGAATCTTTGCAGAGAGGAGAGGAGCTCAAGGCAGAGATGGAGGAAAAACAGTTGGAGACAGAGTGAGGACTTTGATGAGGAAGTAGGTGATTCACTATTTCGATTATAAGAGGCAAGAGAAGAAGATCGAGCACCGAGCAGACTACCGGGGAAATCTTCGGTCCAGTTACCAGTCTGCTGGGGCAGATGGTGTGGCGCCAGGGTTGCCAGATTAAAATAAAAATTGCCAGTCTTTTTCTGTGCATATTTTCAACACACACCTTATCTTACAACACCCTCACTCAGTATATATGACTGAGTCATACAGCAAATCTTCTGTTTTGACTCAAAATATGATGATTTTAAAGGAACAATAAAACACTTTATTATGTCCCATTTGCCAATCCTGTGCGGCGCTAACTGGATGCTAACTACACCAACAGCTGATGAAAGCCCGTAAACAACTGGAGGCGTAGAACTTTTTATTCTGAGGGTGGATCCACAACCTCGATACCAAACACAGCTCCATGATTATTGTTAGGTCTTTGCCAGGGTAAGTGTTTGTTCTGATATTGTTTTATATGTTAAGATCATACTAGCAGTAGCGGCTAACGTTAACAAACATCCAGCACCTAACGACACCGAAGGCTAGGGCAGCCTAAAGTCCAGATGAGGTCCTCATTAAACTACCAATAACTTAATACTCACTGCTAAATAAACAATCATTATAAATATAACCTCTAAAACAAGTTAGCAGCTAACATACCTCTGATGTTATAAAGTGATCACTGCAGGCACCGACATCCTGCTCCTCCTGACCGCAGACGGTTTAAAATCCACTTTTTACACTGTTGTTCTGTGAGCTTTCTACATCTTTCATCTTTGTGTATGACAACCTTCAGTGCTTCATATGGTTGGGTAGAATCATGTGGAATTATTCGTCAGAAAAACTTTTGATGGTTATTATTTGGCACTTGGTGATGTAAGACGTGTAGTATCGACAGCCTCAGCAAATCTTTAGATTCTGTCGAAAACTCATTCATCATCATACGAGTCATGTCTGACATATTTGTGAACAAATTGCTGTTATCTGTCTTGAAATAGGATCTAAATCCATACAATATAAAGTCTCTACTGTAGTTTCCTCCATAGATATTTCACTTCCTGCCCTCCGGTGGAGATCGCTCCGCCTTCGAAACTGCGTGGCTGAAACAAAGCTATTGTCAACCAGCCAGTTTTCATTCTTTGGTCTTGGTGTTGTGGCAGCAAACTTTCCCCATAGCTTAAAATGTAGATGCCATTTTGCTCACTAGTCCCTGTTTTGTTGCCTTATTTCAGGGCCTGTTATTGTCTGGGGCTATTATTAGGAGTGCTGACTCGCTGATAAAGTCACTTATCAGCTACTGTTTAAGTTTTCATTTTTGAAAATATGAATAACCTGAATTAAAATTCAGTTGGTGTTTTTACTGTGATTGCGTCAGTCGCATTACCTGCCGTTTCATAATCAGAATCAACATCTTCACCAAAATAAAACTGCAACATACCAAGCGCCTGTCATTGATTTTGAAAATTAGGAGTACAAATGTCTATGAACAAAGTGGATGTTCTAAGTCCACAATTAGTAAATGGCCTTAATGAACTCCAGTGGAGATAAAAGTTATGGAAGTGTGTGTACAGTTGTGTTATGTGTTCATGTTTTTTTTTTACATTTGTTTACTTTGTTGAATATCCTTTAGAAGATCCAAAAACTTGTTTCCTCTGGGTCCACATTAGATCCAGGTCACAGATCAGACGGTGACTCTTTCCTTCTGCCCATCTTGCTGTCCCACACACACACAAACCTACATGCTCAAACTGATGAACATCACAACAAAGAATACAAGGCTGGAGAAAGGCGTTCTGTGTTTGCAGAAACACAAGCATTTTGGGATGCTGGCAAGAAGTGAGGCAGCATAATGAAAGAGACACTGACACAAATCGTAAAAGATAAACAACATGAAAGTAGACTTTGTTTTCGACCACCGTGCCTTTATTTTCTTATCTGTTCAAGAAACTTTTCACAAGATTACTTCTGATAAAATGATGTTTCTTCAGGTGTAGATGATGCAGGTTGACACTGCAGAGGTGGAAAGTGCTGAAAGTGGAGGCAGTGAAAAGGTGGTGCATTTTTGGCTTTAGTCTTAAGTAAAAGCTAATGTAGCTGCCAGCACAGTTTGATATTTGCTCTGAACATTTATTATATATATATATATAT